TTTTTGTGAGCAAAAGACTTTTTTTTAATACAAGACTGTTTTCATCAGGAGCTCAGACTTAGCTTTATTTAACTTTTTTTGTGAACTGAGTGACGTTTTTTCCCTTCTTCTCTTTTTTTTCCTTTTTCTCAATTTCCCTGACTACTCTGGTGGATTTATAAGCAGTGCTGTAGGATTAAGTCTTTGACACAGAAAACATTGCTTTCTAAGGACTCAGTTTGCCAGCTTCCTGTGGAGTTATTAAACACCAGGAAACAAAAAAAACACATTGCCCTGACCTTGCCAATTGGGGGAGGGGCAGGCAGGTTGGTGCTGGCTTGCCTGTTCACCTGACCTGCCCATTTCAGCCACTTGCTGCCCCCTCCCCCGAAGGACCTTCCTCTTCCTTGCTGCAGAAACGGGGTCCTCCTCCTCCTCCTCCTCCTCCTCCAATTCTTGCAGGATTAAGTCAATGCCTTCATCTCCATAACTTTAAATTGGAATGTTTTAATAAATGAAACAGAAACCTAATCCTGTTTGAATGAATTTCTAGTTACCTGTATTTATAGCTCCACATAATCAGATTTGTTTTGAGTGTTGCAACATAGTGCTTTAAGTTAACAGGTGCCAGGTTCAAGGAAGCCCAGGTGAAGAACACAGCTGCTCTCCAAAGGATGTAACCATGTGCTGTACACATGTGATTTAAATTGGGGGGGGCTGGGGGAAGTAAGTGAAACTGAATGAAGATATTCCACGGACTGACAGTTTGGGGAGGGGGTGGTGAATCTGGTTAATCATGAGCTGGTATTAAGGTTTACCTCATGACAGGGAGAGCAGCAAAACGTCAATATTTCTCCGCTCTTATTGCATCGGCAGAGATGACCCAGACCTTCCTGGGGAGGGCTGGCCAGAGGTCTACCTTCAGGGCCCTGCTGAGAAATTTTCAGTGTGCTACCAGATAAAATTGCTCGGATCCCTTCTCAGTTGGGTACCAAGCGAGGTGCAGATCTGTTGGAGATGCCCGGGGAGCAGTTTTATCCTGTTATCTGGGAACAGTTTGATCCTGTTTTAAGCAGAGGCTCCTGTGAATTAGACCAGCACCCCTTCTGGCTGGTCAAGGCTACCCGGGAAGTGACACCTGATGGGTCCTAGTGACGAGAGGCTGTTCTTGGCACCGTTTGACACACTCTCTCCTTTAGAAGCGTCACTGGACCATTCTGGAAAATTTTCATCCAGGAGACGAGGTTGTGCTGCAACTTGAGGACCGAGGATGAAATGGACTGAGCCCCTTTTAGAGTTTATGCACCGGAGACAAACTCCTTGTGTTCAACCACACTTGGCCAATAAAGAATTCTATTCTATATTCTCTTCTATTCTATATTCTATTCTATTCTATTCTATTCTATTCTATTCTATTCTATTCTATTCTATTCTATTCTATTCTATATTCTATTCTATTCTATATTCTATTCTATATGCTATTCTATATTGTATTGTATTCTATTCCATCACTGTATTGTATTGTATTCTAATTCTAATTAATTCTAATTCTAATAATTCTAATTCTATTCTATATTCTATTCTATATGCTATTCTATTCTATATGCTATTCTATATTGTATTGTATTGTATTCCATCGTATTGTATTGTACTGTAATTCTTATTAGTTCTAATTCTAATAATTCTAATTCTATTCTATATTCTATTCTATTCTATTCTATTCTATTCTATATTGTATTGTATTGTATTCCATCATTGTATTGTATTCTAATTCTAATTAATTCTAATTCTATTCTATTCTATTCTATATTCTATTATATATGCTATTCTATCCTATATGATATTCTATTCTATATGCTATTCTATATTGTATTGTATTGTATTCCATCGTATTGTATTGTATTGTAATTCTTATTAGTTCTAATTCTAATAATTCTAATTCTAATTCTATTCTATATTCTATTCTATTCTATGTTCTATTCTATGTTCTATTCTATATGCTATTTATTCTATTCTATTCTATTCTATATTGTATTGTATTGTATTGTATTCCATCATTGTATTGTATTCTAATTCTAATTAATTCTAATTTCTAATAATTCTAATTCTAATTCTAATTCTAATTCTATTCTATTCTATTCTATTCTATTCTATTCTATTCTACTCTACTCTACTCTACTCTACTCTACTCTACTCTACTCTACTCTATTCTATTCTATTCTATTCTATTCTATTCTATTCTATTCTATTCTATTGAGGTAGGGTATCCATCACCTTGAAGCTGGTCCCAATCGGAGTTGATAGATACTGAGAAGTCCCACTGTGCAGCCTGCCTTGAGGGGTGTCGCAGGGCTTGGTTCTCTCTCTCTGCTGCTGGATGAGACCATCCTTTCATGTGGGATGAGCTACTGTGAGCAGGTGGGTAGCACCCAGGTAGACAGCTCCATCCCAGGGAAAGTAAGTGCTGCTGTGGATGCTCCCTTGCTGTGTTTGGAGATGGGGGGAGGGGGTTGGATGGGGCACAGTAGGCTTCAGCTGAAGTGGCTGTGAGCAGGAGGAGTCTGTTGTGTATCTGCCCTCTTTGGTCCTGGGCCAGGTTGCCCTGCCTGAGACAGACCTGATGCATAATCTGGGGGTGGGGGGATGCTCCGCCTGGCCAAGGATCAGATGGCAGTGGTGGCTGGGAGAGCCCTTGCTCAATTTCACGATGTGAATCAATCACACCCTAGTTTGAGAGTCCCTTCTTTCAGCTATTCATGCCCTGGTCATCCCCCCCATATTGACTACTGCAAATAGGCTCTAGTGGGGCTATCCTTGAAAAGTGTCCAGAAGCTGCAACTGGCACAGAATGCAGTGGCACAAGCAGTTTTGGGTGCCCTGAGGGTCACACATATAACACCCCTGCTAAGTGACTGCATTGGGGGCCAGTTTACTTCCGGGTCCAAATCAAGGTGTGATCACTTTTAAAGCCCTTCGTTGGCCTTGCACCATGTTATCTGAGGAACCATCCCTTTTTCACCAGCCCAGGCAGGGAGGGTGTGGGTCTCCTCTCCCTCCTCCGGATGAGCACAACTTCTACAGGGGGTTTGTTCCAAGGCACCCCAAAACTCTGCTGGCTTTCCTCAATGTCATCTCACAGCCACCCCCCTACATGCACTCATGGGGGCGATCCCAGGTTCTCTGGCCCAATTGTTCCAAGCCATGAACTGCGCACCTTTTATGCGTATCCTGAATGCCTGCCTGGTCTTTTGCCCTGTGGAAGGACAGTCTCCAAGGTGCCCACCCAGGCTGCTCTCATTCAGCCTTCCTGGGCAGGGCCAGACCCATCCATGTTGTGCCTTCTGCACCCCGACAAGCAGTCTCCCACTCCACTTGTCTGAGAACAGTGGCACAGATCCCTGGGGGAGGCCCTCAGCTATGGCTCTGCCCTTGGAGGCCCAGCCATTCACACAGAATGGGGTCACTTGCCAGTGGTACATGTGGGGCTGCTTTTGCCAGGCCTCGTTCATATATTATAGATCTGCAGCAGCTGAAGGTCAACCAAAGTCGGACCCTTTTTCTGAGTTCCCAAAGGGAACTAAAACCAAATCATACAAAGGTGCTTTTTGCTCACCACGCAACCGCACGGTTACCAGGTTGATGACCTGGACAACCTGGAAGGGCCCTAGTCTCCTCCCTCTCCTGCGAATGTCGAGCCCACGGGGCTTGACACATGCCAAGCCGCGTGAAAACTGACCTGGTTAGTGCTGTGTTAGTCTAGCCCAGTGATGGCGAACCTTTTAGAGACCGAGTGCCCAAACTGCAACCCAAAACCCACTTACGCATCGTCAGGTGCCGGGTGGGTGTGGCCTATTGGGTGGGTATGGCTACGGTGGTAATGGCAGACTGGGTGGGACTAAAAAGTTCAATCAATCAATTCCAACTTTGCAAGATCTCCCCCCCCCCCCCGCAAGAAGTTGAAATTGACTGAACCTTTTTTTTTTTTTTTGCACACAGCAGTGGAGGCCTAAAGCGAAAAGGTTTTATAAAACTCAGCTGAAGGCCTAGGACTGGGGCGACGGTGCGTGCCCACAGAGAGGGCTCTGAGTGCCACCTCTGGCACCCGTGCCATATGTTCGCCACTGGTCTAGCCATTAGTCTCTCACAAACCCACTTAATCCTCTTGTGCACCTCCCCTGCTGTGAAGCAAACCCGAAGAGCCTGAGGAAGACCTGCTGGCTACAGCCTGGAGCACAACTCAGCCGGGTGGGCAGCCCAGGCAAGACCCCTTTGGCCCAGGACTGCAAGGGAGCTTCCTGCCTTGCGCAATTAGCCCCAAGGAAGGTGCCTGATGCTCTCCAGTTGGCACGGAAGGCCCGATGCTGTGAAAGGGACAAAGACTCCTGAAGGCAGGACAAGAAGCAACAGCTGGAAACTAATCAAGGAGAGAAGCAACCTAGAACTAAGGAGAAACTTCCTGACAGAACAATTAACCAGTGGAACAACCTGCCTCCAGAAGTAGTGAATGCTCCAACACTGGAAGTTTTTAAGAAGAGACTGGATAGCCATTTGTCTGAAATGGTATAGGGTTTCCTGCCTGAGCAGGCAGTTGGACTAGATGACCTCCAAGGTCCCTTCCAACTTTTTTTATTATTATTATGGATCATCCCACAGCCAGATGTTCAGACTGGATTTGGCATTTTGTCTACCTATTGAGTCCTTACGCAGGACCTGGGATAGGCAGATGTGAATGTTTGATGGTATTACAGGTATCGTCACAGGATGGAAGCAGTTCCTAGTAAGGCCGCCTTTTGCAATTGACTAAAAGAGAATTTGTCAATGCCAATGGTTATTATTATTATTAAGTCTGTGGACAGTCCCAGTGGCGATGGTGACACCTAGGGAGAAGGCTGGGGACGGATGATCCTGGAGGCGGCCCACCGAGGCAGCCACGAAGGTGGTGCCTAATCCACCAGTGGGAAACGAGGGGCTGGGCTTCCTCTCCAGGGGGCAGATGGGGAAGACACAGGCCACTCTGGAGAGTACGGCGAGGAAGGGCTCTGCTCATGAGCCATTTATTGTTGCACTGTAGAAGAACATGACACAAAGCAGGACTCAAACAAACCTTCCAGGGTCCTTCCTCTTCAGCCCAGGGTCCCGCTCTGGGTTCGGCCAACCCCTGCCCTTGCCTCAATCTAGCTAGGGTGGGGGAACCCCCAGAGAAGCAAGGCAGATGCCTAGGATGGGGGAAAAGAGTCTGAGCAGCATTTCCTGCTGGGGCCCGCAATGGTCCTTCTGAGCGTGGGGATGGTCAGTGAAGGGAAGTTGTGGTTGGAGGAGCCCTGGCAGGGCAAAGCCTCTGTTGCTCAGCAGCCCTGGTTTTCCTGCTCCCCCCGCCCCCTGCCCCATCCAGACTATCCCCTGCTGGATCTTGGCATCTTCATGCTGCTGGCAAAGCGCCCCAAAGCCTCACATTTCATCAGTGCGATGGGGCTGGAGGATGACACTGGTGGTACCATCTGCCCAGCCAGGCTGCTGGTCGACGGAGGTGGGTGGGAGTGCCCCCTCCTTCCCTGGAGGAGGATGCTTGGGGGCCAGGAGGAGCCCCTCCAAGGCAGGAGAAGGTGAGTCCAAGGAGGAGCTGCCGTTGCTGGCAGAGGGGGGCCCAGCCCCCGGGGCGCTCCGTGGGCCCCCTCGAGACCCGTTGAGACTCTCTGAAGCCGCAAAGCCTTCGGGGGACACAGCTTTCTCTGACAAAAGCAGCCCGGGGGACCCAGGAGAGGGAAGGGTTTTCGTCTCTTCTGCTGACTGGGGGGTGCCTGCCAACGTCCGGGAAGCCCCGCTTGAGAACTCCCGCAGCTTTCGGGACAACACTGAAAGAAGAAAAGGGGGCAGTTACAGCATTGCAGGGGAGCAGGGTTGCCCTCCTCGGGGTCCCTGGTGGCTTCCCCTTTTCCTGCCTCCTCCTCCTCCTCCTCCCTTGGAATGAACTGCCCAACAACTTTGTGCTTTTTAGAAGGATGGCATCTCCTGTTTGCCCCTTTCCACTGTCCCCCCCCCCTTTGGAAGATGTTATTGGAAGTGACCCCAAGCCACTCCTGTCCCTCTGGGGAGGCCATCCAGCCCTTGGCCACGGAAAAAATAAATCCTGCAAAGATGTCTGCCGAGGACTAACGACTCTCGGAGGCTGCTTGGCTTAAATCAGACCCTTCCTCTTTATGCCCAGTGGAGGAGGAAGTCAACAAAGCATCCCCTTTTTGTCACCCATACGCCAAACTGCTCCAACTGGCAAACCTCCGTTCTGCGCCAACTGAAGCCGGCCGGGCAGCCCAAGTGCCCATCTCCAGCCACGGGAGAGCAAAGGCCACGGGTGGGGGGGGGGACTGTAGCCTCCAGGAGTTTGCTCAGTCTTTGCAGGAGCTGGTGCTGAAAGCACAAGGCTGTCTGTGTGTGGGGGTGGGTGGGTGACTAGGCTTAGAGGTTGCAGAGGCCAACTCAGCCCCAGAGACTCACCTCCATGCTGCCCCAGCGGTTGCTTCTGGCCACCCAGAGGATAGAGGCTGGGCAGGAGGACCAGGCAGAAGGAGAAGAGCAGCACCTGAGCAGAGAGCGGTTGAAGGCAATCAGACCACAGTTTGCATGGCTGAAACGTGTCCCCTCCTTGCAGCTCCCATTTTTGGCCCACTGGAGGGGAGCAGGGGAGAGCTGGCCAGAGGGCTAGAGACACGGAAACTCACCATGACGCAGGTGCTGGCCGCAGCTGTCTTGGTGGACGAGTGCTGGACGAGCGCTTGCAGCTTCCTCAACTGCTCAAGCAGGGACCTGCAACGTAGGATTGACGCACCCTCAGCTGCACCACTGGGGTCTCTTGCTGCAGCAAGGTGCCCCCTGCCTTGAACCAGGCTCCTACAGACTCAACTGAGGGCTGCACCCCTATCGAGTGGGGCGGTCTCGATCATTGTTTGATCCGTATGTGGGCAACTGAACGAAGCTTGGGCGGCTACGGGCAGCCCCAATTGGCTTGCAGAACTCTTAAGACGAGAGCAGCCTCCCTTGCGCCCCCCCCCCCAGCCCAACTCACGTGTTCTGCTTCTGCAGCAGCTGCACCTTCTTCTGGAGCTCACTGTTCTGGGCTGTGCAGGCCAGCACCCTGCAGAGAGATGGGTCAGTGAGGAAGCCCAGACTGGGTAGTCCCCTTGGTGAGGAGAGGGGAGAGAAAGCAAGGAAGACCCCTTTCCCCACCCCTCTGCTCCCCACCTGCTCTCCAGGTTGTCCATGTAGACCTTCTTCCTGCGGCGGCTGTCCTGGGCTGACTGCTTGTTGCGAATCTTCCTCCGGACGCGCTTCAGGACCCTCTCCTCTGCCTGGCAGCACACGTGTCGGGGGATGGTGGTTAGCCAAGAGCCCCCCTCCCTTCCCCTGGGGAACCCCTGCCTTTCAGCCTGCCTGCCTGCCAAGGCTTTGTCCAGACCTTAGCCCTGGCCCCTCCTCCACCGCCTGGGGGGGGCACCGGGCTGGCCACGCTGCAGGGCAAGGACCAGGCTGCTCCGTCCCCCTCTTGGAGCCAAGATCCGGTGGGGGGAGGGCTTTCCCTGTTGATTCTCCTCCCTGCCTTTGGATGTCCCGCAGGCCAGGTGAGGCAGGCCCACCTTGGTTAGGGGCAGGTGGGAGGGAATCGAGACACCCTCCTTCTCCAGGAGCTGCTTCTCTTCATCCGTCAGGACCAGCGGTGGGAAGTCCAACTGGAAATGCAGGAAAGATGGTGGCTGATCAGGGCCAGGGCCTGGGAAGCACCAAGGATGAGGGGCTCCAGAAGAGCGGCCTGGCCAGGCTGCTTACCTGCATGCCTGCTCCTACCTGGGGCTCCGCTGTGAATGCTGCAGTGGGAAGACTGAGGCCCTCGGCGGTTTCCATATCTGCCCACATCTCTGGAAGAGGGGAGAGAGAGGACTGTCAACCCGCCGCACTGTGAACCAGCCCTTTCTCCCCCCCAGGGCAAACCTCGCTGCTGCCCTGGTTCAGTGGCTGGGTTCGCACAAGGCACCAAGCTGGCTAGAGCAGGCCTGATTAGTAAGAGGCTCCAGCGCATTGGCTTGTTAGCAGAACCAGCCGCCTACTGAGGGGGAGGGGTCCTGATGGGCCCAACCTGGGATGTCAGTGCGGTTAGTTGATCCAGGGGTGGGGGGAAGCCAGTTGGGGTACAGAACCAGAGGAAACCCCTACAAGGCTAGCTGAGTTCTAAGAATCCAATTTCTGACCCGAGTCAAGGTTTTGTGTAATTATGTCACTAAGAGCATCTTATGAGCCAAGCCCTCAGATTAGCCTCTCTGGATCCAGGGTGCTTTGCTAAAATCATAGCTTCCACATTTCCTTACAGAGAAGCAAGCAGCCCCTTTGCCAGAGTCCTGGCAAATTTATAAATCTGAATGTCTACATTTTAATATTTAAAGCTAAAAAGCAAGGCTTTTTTTTCTGCATTGGGAGGTTTGGGAGGAGAGGGCCAGATCCTCTGTCTCTTCCCCTAACCTATGTGACCTTAAAAAACATCTCTCATTGACTTTGGCCTGGCTGAAGGAATGCCTGTGCAAAAGCCCCTTGCTAGGAGGTTGATGCCGAGTTAGGGGCCTCTTTGCAAAAGGGGGGAAGATGGCAGGAAGTAGCAAGCCACAAGCCGAAGGGAGCAGACTGGAGCTGAAGGCCCAGAATAACAACTTTATCAAGGATCTTGGAGGTCTTCTAGTCCAACCCCCTGCTCAAGCAGGAAACCCTACGCCATTCTGGACAAATGACTGTCCAATCTCTCAACTCCCAGTGTTGGAGCATTCATAACTTCCAGAGACAAACCGTTCCATTGGTTAATTTCTCCTTAGTCCTAGGTTGGATCTGATAAACTTCGATCTGTTACCTCTTGTCTTACCTTCAGGTGCTTTGGAGAATAGGTTGGCCCCCTCCTCTTTGTGGCAGCCCTTCAAATTTTGGAAGACTGTTATCCTGTCACCCCTGGTCTTCCTTTTCAATAGACTAGACATAGCCAGTTCCCCCAATTGTCCATTGAGTCACATTCACTCCTTCTACCTCAGCATCTTTTTTGTATTGTGGTGATTAAAACTGGATACAGTATTCCAGGTGTGGCCCTCCCAGAGCAGCATATAGCAGTACTAACACTTCACAAAATCTTGACACTATCACTCTGTCGATGCAACCTAGGACTGTGTTGGCTTTTTTGGCAACTGCCGCGCAAGGCTGGCTCATACTTAAGCGGTGGTCTACCAGACACCTGCCCCCCCCTCACTGTTACCACTTTGGAGCCATGTTCCTCCTACCGTATGCAATATCTGTGCATTTGAATTTTCTGTCTAGATGCAGGACCTTACTTTGTTCACCAGTGAAATGTGCCTTGTTGGATGGGGCCCAATGCTCAAGCCTGTCAAGATTCTTCTGAATCTTGAGTCTGTCATCTAAAGCAGTGGTTCTTAACCTGGGTGATATCGCCCCCCAGGGGGCGATTTCATTTTTCAGGGGGGCGATGGAACGAAAAGGGGGCGATATGGGGGCGATGGAGCGAGAAGTTTTGGGGACACTTTTGAGACTTTTTCGTACAATGAATCGCTGTATATCTATCGTACAAAAACATCAGATCGAATTGAATTGTGTTTTCAAACGTTCCTCCAGCTAGCTTCAGTACAGAACGCCGTACATATGTGAAGACGCATTGCTTATCTTAATGCGCGTTGCGCAGCAGCCTCTACCCATACAGTGGTGCGCCATTGGCCAGAATATGGGAGATATGATAAAAAGACTGGAAATAAATTATTTGCATCGATACGTCCTGATGACAATTTTAAAGAAAACAAAAAAAAGTGTTTGCATAAATTGAAGAATTATTTCCTATGTTGTGACTGAGAGGTTATGTTGGGGGAGGGGGGCGATGACAACTTCCTCATTGGCTCAAGGGGGCGATTCGTTCAAAAAGGTTAAGAACCACTGATCTAAAGTATCGGCAATTCCCCTCCAGCTTGGTGTCATCTGAAATTGATGAAGATGTTGAAGAGTCCTGGGCCTAAAACAGAGCCCTCCCCTGCACACTTCCTCCATGTAGAGCAGTGGTTCTCAACCTGTGGGTCGGGACCCCATTTGGGGTCGAATGACCATTTCACGGGGGTCGCCAAACCATGCTGTCCGCCATTTTTTTCCCTTTTCCCTAGCTGTCCTACTCCCTCTTATTGATGGCCACACCCACTTGGGGGTCACCACAACATGGAGAACTGTATTATGGGGTCACGGTATTAGAAAGGTTGAGAACCACTGATGTAGAGGGAAGTTCCATTGAGCACTCCACGTTGAGTGCGGTTGGTCACCCAGTTACCAATCCATCTGATGGTGATGCTGTCTACCCCACAATTTTCTCTTACCAAGAAGCAGGTTGTGGTCTATTGTATCAAATGCCTTACTCTTGCAAGTGGGAAAGCGTTTCTCCCCTGCCTGCCAGGGCGGGAGAGGAAGCCCGCCTGCCTTGGGCTCAGATGGCTCTTCCGGGTTGCTGCGGCCGTTTTTCCCTCCTACCTCGGAGGTTTCCCTCCCAGCCATTTCACCATCCTCTGGCCACGCGCAAAAACGCCGCAGGCTGGGCCGTAAGTTGGCTGGGAGACCAGCCCAGCTTCGCTCTCAGCCCACGGCAGCCCCCGACCCGTTTCCCAACTTAGCCCGGGCCCTCGGGAAGCCTCCGCTCACCCAGATCTATGGCCACGTCACCCTCGCCCGCCGCCCAGGAGGGCGCGGTGGCATTCAGGTGTAAGGAGTAGTTGTGCTCCGACTCCACGCGGCCCGAGTCAGGGAGGCTGCTGGCAGGAGACGGGCTCCGGTCCTCGGCGAGGCTGCTCTGGCCGGAGGGGTCGGCGGAGCTGTCCGAATCCTCCCCGAAGGGGCTCCAGAGGCACCGCAGCAGCTCCTCCAGCTCGTCCTCCTGCCTGCCCGGGACCTGCGGAGCGAGAGGAGGCAGGAGCAACCAGGGCCAACCGAGGGCACCGCCCGCTTGCCCCTGCCCGGCCCACTGCCCACCTGCGGCTGCGGGAAGCCCCACGGCTCCGGTTCCGGCTCGCTCCCCAGGAAAAGCTCCTCCTGCAGGAGGAAGTCCAGCAGGTCCTGCTCGGCCATGGCCGCCGCCTCTTCGGGCACAGCGTCCGCCAGGAGAACCGCCGGCAGGGCGTCCACTCCAACCACTTGCGGGCGGGATCCGCGGAAGTGAAACCGGCTCCCGCTCTGTCGCACCTACTCCGCTACTGCGGCTGCTGACCCGGACGAGTCCGCTCCTTCCAACACAGCAGAGATGACGTCACCCACCAGGAAGTGTCTCGCTGCCTGTCCGTCTTCCTCTTGTCCCGCCTCTCCCGCGGCCGCTCACTGGCTGGCGGGAGCGTCACTCACGCCTGGGAAAATCCCGCGGCTTCTGACGTCATGGGGCTCGGGCGTCAGGTTCTCCCTCAGGCTCTTCCGGTTGCTCTGCGGATTCGTGGCTGGACGCGGCGGGGGTCTCGGAGATCCTCTAGTCCAGCCCGCTGCCCCGCGAAGGAATTGCGGCTGCTGATAAAAACAGGATCGCCAACGTCCGATAACGGATATGGCACAAGAAGAAGAAGCCCGATCTTGGCTTGTTTCCCCCCTCCTCCCGCTGGACCCCTGCCTGACCTCAAGAGAGAGTTATCGCAGCCCCTTACTTTTAATGGCTGTTTTTGTTTTGTTTTTTTTAGAATAGAATAGAATTCTTCATTGGCCAAATGTGATTGGACACACAAGGGATTTGTCTCCGGTGCAGAAGTTCTCAGTGTACATACAAGCAAGAAGTGATAAATCGTGATAGCAATAGCACGTAAGACTTATATACCGCTTCGCAGTGCTTTACAGACCCTCTCTAAGCAGTTTACAGAGTTAGCTTCTTGCCCCCAGCAATCTGGGTTCTCATTTTAATGACCGTGGAAGGATGGAGTTAACTTGAGCCTGTCTAGATCAAATTCCTGGAGTGAGCAGTGAGTTAGCCTGCGGTACTGCATTCTAACCACAGCTCTATCATAATCAAATACAATCATCATAAATCATATGATACAACACTCAGTGATAGTCATAGGATACTAAATAAGCAATCAACATGAATCATAATAGGATGCTAAATAGAAACAATCAGTGTTTCCATTGCTTGTGAACTGCCTAGGATAGAGATTTTCAGTCATAACCGCCTTCAGATCTGGGGACTTCCAGAAGCCTCCAGCAGACCTGTTACATTTTTTAATACTGGTGGCTATGGTAAATATTGTTGTTATTATTATTGTTGTTGTTATTCTTATTATTAGTAGTAGTAGTAGTAGTGTTAGTAGTATGGTTGGTCCCAGACAGCCAAATGTTTAAACTAGCTTTGGCATTCTTGTCCACTACTGAGGCCTTCCCAAGGATCTGGGATAGGAAGATGTTGTTTGATGGTGTTAAAAGTATTATTATTACTATAAATGAGAGGCAAACATATTCCCTTTGGAAAATGAAAGCTTAATGTGGGATGGGATCCCTGGCTTGGCAATGGTTCCTGTGAAAAAGACACAGAAAGTTCTTGGATTAGCAGGACAATCGGTCCCAGAATTTCTGTTACTAAGCAATGCAATCCTAAAGTGTGATGTCCATATTGCCATCTTAACTCAGAGACCTTGCAAGTCATTCAGAGGACCTCATGTGACCAGAGACCTAAGCAAGCACGCTGCTGGGCAGGTGGGTGAATGTCGCAGGCAGGTGCTATTATAGAGCATGAGTGGGTGAGTGGTGGGTGGCTGTATTCTGTAGCGGGGCTGCTTGGGAGAAAAAGGGATGGGAGCAACTTATGGGAGCGACTTGGAGGCTCCCTGCTGGCTTCCTCATTGACTTTGTGGGAAACCAGCAGGAAGGTTGCAAATGGTGATCACATGACCGTGGCTTCCTGGATCGTGTGACAATGATGACATTGCAACAGCTGTAGTACCGAGGACCAATTACAAGTGCCCCTCACTCAGCTCCATTGTAACTTCACATATTAATCAGTTATTTTAGGCTGTATCAACAGAAATACTTCATTAATTGCAGCAAGCAATGCATCTTCATTTTGTTGGTCAGACCCCACCTCCAGGACTGTGTTCAGTTGTGTCAACAGCGTTTAAGAGAAGTGGGAGTCAGTTCAAAGAAGGGCAATGAGGCTGAACCAAGGAATAGAAAACAGTAACTATGCAGAAGAATGGAAGGGAGCGCAGGATCTGATGGCTTCCAGAGATCCAAAGAGAAAGAAGGTCAAAAGGCTTCCCTTTTCTCATTCTGGTGTCCCAGATGCAGCTCAGTGGATTTCAAGACAGATTCCAACTGATCCACTTCTTGGGAGTAATGATGAAAGAGGGTGAGCTCTCATTTTCTGCTTCTGAGCATCCACGAAAAAAGCCTTTTAAATAATAATAATAATAATAATAATAATAATAATAATAATAATAATAATAATAATAATAACTACTACTGGAAGAAAAGGTGTTTACCCGTCGCAGATACACAGTGATGGAAAACAAAGAAATAATGATCTGTTACTACAGATCAAGTCCAACAAGACGAGGATATCTAAAACGAATGCACCAATTCTGGAAAGAACAACATCCAGAATCAGAAATAACAGAACAGAGACTAGCAGATCAACGCCGATTTATAACACGAAATAAAGTATTTACAGAAACAGAATTAGACGAACTGCAAAGGTTTACCCAGGGCAAAGAAATCAAAGCCTTACAAGAAGTAATTCAGAATGTAGAGGCAAACCAGGGGGAGTTGGCAGTGAAAGAATCCAGTAGAGATATACAACTGTTCTCATTTGGAAACCAGGCACCTCTTCCTCAGGAAGAACAAAACCCTCTAACTAAAGAAATAAAAGAATTGAAACAAAGAATAATTGAGCATCTAGAACAGCACAAAAACAACAGAATAAGGCTGCCTGCATTGAAGCTTGTTCCAAAGAAACAGCTAGCACAAGCATTAAAAGATGCAAATACTGCAATAGCAAGTATAAGCACCAATTCACTGCAAGAAACAAACCAATTAATGTACAGCACAGCTGCAGTTATAACAGAATACCTGGGATGCAAAATCAACAAAAAGAAAAACAAACAAACAGTGCACCAGAAAAATGGAAGGTTAGACTAGAAAATAAGATCAGCAAGTTAAGATCACATGCAAGCAAGCTAGAACAGATGAAAGAAAAGAAGCTGAAGAACAAGAAGACCAAAGAATACCTAATCAAGAAATACCACTTAGAAACAAGGAAGATCAAGGAAGCACTGGAAATAATAAAGCAACAAATAACAGCTATAGCCAGGAAAATCAGTAGATATGAAGCTCGAATTGCAAACTATAGGCAGAACCTCCAATTTCAATCCAATCAGAAACGTTTCTACCAATCCATCAATGGAGAAACTGCAAGGAATCAGTCATACCTGACAAGGAAGAAACAGTGCAGTTCTGGAAGCAGATATGGGATAACCCAAAGAAATACAACAAGGATGCGGCTTGGTTAAAAGAGGTGGATGCAAATAAAACAGAAGTTGAAATGAAAGAACTAGTAATAACAACAAAAATGGTAGAAAAAAGAGCAAAGAAAATCAAAAATTGGTCAGCACCAGGTGAAGATGAACTGCATGGGTTTTGGTTGAAACATCTAACTGTTATACACCCACTCATTGCCAAGCAATTCAACAATATACTACAAGGAGGAGAAATTGAAAAGTGGCTAACAACTGGGAAAACCTACCTAATAATGAAAAATCCAGCAAAAGGGGCAACACCAGGTAACTACAGGCCAATTACCTGCTTACCAACAACTTTCAAATTACTAACTGGTGTGGTAGCTGATGCAGTACAACAGCATCTAGTTGAAAACAATCTCTTTCCACCTGAGCAGAAAGGAAACCGCCCCAATAGCAGAGGAACAAAAGATCAACTCCTAATAGACAAAATGATCTTGGAAAACTGCAAGAGAAGGAAGACCAACCTGAATGTGGCATGGATTGACTACAAAAAGGCATTTGACTCTCTGCCACATGATTGGATAATAAAGTGCCTAGAAATAACAGGAGTCAGTAGAAACATCAGAAAATTTGTGCAAAGATCGATGGCACAATGGAAGACACAGTTGCAGATCAATGGTGAGAGGCTGGGAGAGGTTAATATCAAGAGAGGAATATTTCAAGGAGATTCATTATCACCATTACTATTTGTTATTGCACTGTTTCCTCTGTCAACAATACTGAATAACTCAGGACATGGCTATCAAACATCAAAAACATCTGCCAGACTATCCCACCTCCTTTACATGGATGATCTGAAGCTGTATGGAAAAACATCATCTGAAATAGAATCGCTGCTCAACACTGTCCGTATATATAGCCAAGATATTGTAATGGAGTTTGGCTTGGACAAATGTGCCACACTTACTATCAAACAAGGAAAAATAGTGAAAACTGAAGGAATCAAGATGCCCCACGAAAATAACATTAAGAGTCTGGATGAGGAAGAATACTACAAATACTTGGGTATCCTTCAAGCTGACAACATCAAGCACACTGAAGTCAAGAAAAAGATTAGAGGTGAATACATCAAGAGAGTGAAGAAGATCTTAAAATCCAAACTCAATGGAGGAAATACCATAAAGGCAATCAACACCTGGGCAATCCCAGTCATTAGGTACACAGCTGGAATAGTGGACTGGACTCAAGCAGAACTAAAAGCAATGGATAGGCAGACCAGAAAAATAATGACAATGAATCATGCCCTTCATCCACGCAGTGACATTGATAGACTTTATCTACCAAGGCAAATAGGTGGGCGTGGAATGCTACAAGTACATCAGATGGTTGAAGAAGAAAAAATGGCTTTGGAAGAATATCTGAAGAACAATGATGAAGATGCACTGAAATTAGTATATCAGGAAGGCTTACTAACTACTAGAGAGACCAAACTGGCCTACAAGAAAGACCAAATGAAGAACAGAATAGAGGCATGGGAAGACATGGCCAATACATTAAAAAAATAGCTGGGAAAGCAGATAATAATAAAACCTGGCAATGGCTAAGAGCAGGAAAATTGAAGAAAGAGACCGAGGGATTAATTCTGGCTGCACAAGACCAAGCCTTAAGGACAAATGCATACAAAATCAAAATTGAGAAGACAGCAACAGACAGTAAGTGCCGCCTATGCAAAGAAGCTGAAGAAACAGTGGACCACCTGGTAAGCTGTTGCAAGAAGATTGCACAGACTGACTACAAGCAGCGGCATGACAAAGTAGCAACAATGGTGCATTGGAAGATCTGCAAAAAATATCAGTTGCCTGTAAGCAAAAACTGGTGGGATCATAAAATAGAGAAAGTCATAGAAAATGATAAAATTAAACTGCTCTGGGACTTCAGAATTCAAACAGACAAGCACCTGCAACATAACACCCCAGACTTAACAATTGTCGATAAGAAAGACAAAAAAGTCTGGATAGTGGATGTGGCAGTGCCTGGAGATAGCAGAATAGAAGAGAAAGACCTGGAGAAGATAACAAAATACAAAGACCTACACATAGAAATAGAAAGACTGTGGCAAAAGCAAGCAAGGGTAGTACCAATAGTCATAGGCGCCTTGGGTGCAATCCCAAAACAACTGGAGC